TTGTCCCTCCTTCCCCGGCAGAGCATCTGGTGGATTTGAACCGTGCGCCTCTGGGATTGCAGTGCAGCTTCTTGCCACTAGGCCACCAGAGCTCCCCCATTTATTTCCTTTTTTAATTGAGATTTTAATTAAAGTTTACAGAGAACTCCTCCCTACTTCTCCTCACCCCCTTTTCTTCATTTATGAGGTAAGCTATTCCTTTAAAAAAAAATCTGTCGTGCAGCAATGAATGAATGGAAATCCAAAATCTCTGTAAATGTTCATTAAAATTATTTAAAAAAAAAAACACCAAAAAATCTGTCGGTTTACTCTAGGTTTTCAAATTTTTTAGAGTATCGGTCCTGATAGTATTTTGTTATCCTTTTTATTTCACTTGGTTCCATTGTGACATCACCATTTCATTCTTTTTTCTTGTTAATTAAATTTTCTATTTGCCTGGGGCTTGTCAATTTTATGAATCCTTTCAGAAAGTCAATTTCCAGACTTGTTAATCTTTTTCTGCTTTCTAGTTATTTCTGATCTTTATTATTTCCTATCTTACCAGAGTGTAAACTTTGCTTGCTGATCTTTTTTCTAATGGTCAGAGATGTTGGGCTAAGGCATTAATTTTGTTTCTTCTTTTTTGATGTTTGTACATTGTTATAAGTTGACCTTTTGAGAACATTTTTATGTGTTCCAAAGATTTTGGTATTCTGTGTTTTCATTCTTATTTCCATCAAGAAATTTTAAAATTTCTTTATTTTTTTCTATTACACAATAGTGTCCAAGCAATATGTTTAATTTCCATATACTTGAATTTCTCCCCTCTATCTCCTTGTTGTAAATTCCCAATTTTATTATAATGTTATGATCTGAGAAGTATTGTAGTATTTCAATGTTTTTTCTAATACCTAACAATAACAACTACTATTATTGTGGAGTTGTTTCTCTTTTCAGATCTGTTAAAGTTTAATTTATGTATCTTGTGGCCCTTTCATTGGGTTGTTCTTATTGAAATGGACCCTCAAGTGGACCATGACTCCTAGCGACCCTAGAAACAACAGCTCTGAACCTTGTTCAACTTCACAATCTCCGACACACCTGAATCCATTGCTGTAGTCACTGTGTCAATCCATCTATTCAGCATCTTCCTCTCTTACACTAAACTTCTACCCTTCCAAGCATGATGCCTTCCCTCCTGACAGCGTGCCCTAAGTGTGTTAGACCTTCAAAATCCTTGCCTCCAAGGAACAACCTTGGAGGGTTTTATCCTCTCCAAGGCCGACTTGTTTGTTCTCTTGGCCTTTTATGGGATGCTTAATACTCTTCTCTAGCATCACAACTCAAAGACATCGATTCTTCTTCTGTCACCCTTAGTCACTCTCTAGCTGTCAGATGCATACCAAGCAATTGAGAAGACTATGGCCTAGATGAGGCACACCTTTGTCATTAGACTGATATTGTTGCTCTTTAACACTCTGGAGAGGTCCTTGGCAGCAATGTAGACATTGATCACAGTTATGTCTTCTGAATCAATTGAACCATTGATCATTACATAATGTTGTTTGTCTCTTATGCTGGTTTTTGTTTTGAAGTCTATTTTATGAGAAATTAATATTGTCATTCCTCTTTTTTTAATTGCTGTTTGTGTGATGTATTTTTCCTACCTTTTAACTTTTGTTTTTGTTATTTTTTCTGTTGTTGCACATTTTCTTCCCCTCCCCCAGGCATCCCCTCAATGAACCCCTTGTTACAGATTGTTGTTATGTAACGCCTAATCATATATCCTTTTTGGACAGTTCTTCCTCTCATCTGATCAAATGCATTATTAATTATCTATCTACTCTTTTCACATTCTCTCCCCAACTCCTCCATGTTTGTCTTATTTTATAACAACGGTGTTATACTGTATTTGTTCTTTTGAGACTGAGAAATTTCACTAAGCATAACACCTCTAGGCTTCCCCATGTTGTGTAATGTTTGAGTTCATTGTTTACCAATGCTGTATAATATTCCATTGTGTGAATGTATCATAGTTTTTCTATACATTCATTTGTTGATGGGTACTTGAGGTTGCTTACAACTCTTTGCTATTGTGAATAACACAACCATAAACATGGGTGTGCATATGTCTGTTTGAGTCATGGCTTTGATTTCTTTAGAGTATGTTCCCTGTAGTTGAATTGCTGGGTCAAATGGTATGTCTATTTCCAACTTTTTAAGAAAACACCAGATCTCCTTCCATTATGGCATCATATACCGTTTTACATTTCCACCAGTAATGAATAAGAGTTCACGTCTCAGGTAGCTCTGGTGGCCTAGTAGCAAGAAACTGTGCTGCAATCCTGAAGGCATGCAATTCAAATCCATCAGATGCTCCTCTGGAGGAGGGCCAATCTCCTCCTGTGCCACTCAGATCCGTTTTGATGGTACACAGCAAGTTGTTGTTGTTGTTAAGTGCCATCGAGTCGTTTGCGAATCATAAGCTACTCATAGTGACCCTGTGTACATTAGCCCTGAAACCTGGTCTATCCTGTGCCAACTTTACTATCTCTGAAACTCCTACTCACAGTACAAGAGAGAGAGAAAAAAAACAAAAACAAAAAAAACCTAAAAGAAAAGATTTCCAGTTGAACTTTGCTATTGTTGCTGGGGTGATTTCATCTCTCTGATAGCTAGGGATTTTGAGCATTTCTTTATGTGTTTGTTTGCCATCTGAATGTCTTCTTTGGTGAAGTGTCTATTCATATCCTGTGCCCATTTTGTGACTGGGTTGTTTACCTTTTTTCTTGTTGAAGTGCTACCCTTTCATTTTCGTTTATTTTTTGGCATTTGTGTCTAAGGTGTGCCTTTTGCAAGCAGCATATTAATGGGTCACATTTTCTTATTAATTCTGCTACCCTCTTTTTCTCTTGGCTGATGCATTTAATCTATTTGCATTCAGTGTAAATCATTGATAGGTGTCGTTTTATTGCTGCCATTTTTCTGTACTCTATCTGTGGTGGTGTTGATTTCTTCGTTCCATCTGCTTTTCTGTGCTGAGTCAATTTTGTTTATAGTCTTTCTTATCATTTTCTACATTGCTGTTGTTTTCATGTTTACTAAGTCTTTATGGTTTTCCTCCTTTTCATTTTGATGAAATTTATTGGTTTTTTTGGAGTTTACCCTTGTTGTTGTTATGTGCCATCGCGTCGCTTGTGACTCATAGTGACCCTGTGTACAACAGCTCTGAACCCTGCTTTATCCTGTGCCAATCTTACTGTCTCTGACACACCTACCCCCATTACTCCAGTCATTGAGTCAATCCATCTCATTGAGGTTCTTCCCCTCCTGTGCTGTCCCTCCACCCTCCCAAGCATGATGTCCCTCTCCAAGAACAGATCCCTCCTTGCAACATGCCCAAAGTATGTCAGACAGAGTTTCAGATCCTTTCCTCCAAGGAGCAGAGGTTACCCTATATTACTATATTCTATAATCTTACACTTTATCTGGAAATCTCCTTGACTTTTCCAGTTAGAAGTTCTAAAACTACACTTCTTATTTATCTTTTGCATTGTGGTAGTCTTCATTTACAAGACTGATACCTCTTGTCCCCTGTTTTTTCAGTGTCATATGTTTATTATACTTTGGGTATTTCTTGTTTAGGTGAGTCGATGTCCTATATGTGAATTTCTGTTTGGTGTCTTTTGTTGTTGGCTCTTAATCCAAAGAACTACTTTTAGGATTCCTTGTAAGGTTGGCCTGTTTTCACAGACTCTTTTAGTTTCTGTTTAGCTGGAAATGTCCTAATTTTGTCATCGTGTTTAATGGACATTTTTGCTGGGTTTAGAATTCTTCGTTGGCACATCTTTTTCTTTCAGAGTTTTAGATATGTCATTCCATTGTCTTCTTGCCTGCGTGGTTTCTGCTGAGAAACTGGAGTTTAGTCTTATTGGTTCTCCTTTATAGGTAATTCTTCATTTTTAAAAAATAATTTTA